TTGTTTTTTCCCTCCCTAATAATAACAATAAAAATAAATTAGAAATGTGAGATACATCGACGGTGACGAGCAGCAGCAGTTTTCTTGTGTTGTTTAGATTCTTCTTTCCAACGATTAGCAATGTCATGAGCCACACTCATTGCGTCCAATGAGGCTCCAAACAATCCTTTCCTCGTGAACCCTACCGCATACAATCCCGCCTCTCCTTTCCACCCGTTTGGAAACGGGTTTTTCGGTATCCCATCGTCCGAGAAAAAATCATTATCCTGTAAAACAAAAAGAAAATTTAATTAAACCCGTTACCAAACAAACACACATTTATTAACTGTCATTAATTCAAACTCTAACCACGAGTTTTGTAAGTATATGTTTCCATGAAAACATTTTAAATTTGGTTTTTGCATTTATTGCTCACATTGGGTTTGGTTTTCACCAAACTCGGACCGGGTCGGGTGGTTATTTGTGTTTTTTTGCTTCCGACAAGGTTAAATGTTTTAAAATTTTTAAGAAACAATTGAGAGATGTTTTATTTAATTTACCTTAAGCCATGAAGGGACGTTGCTTCTGTATCCAGTAGCTAGAATAACGGAATCAATCTCAAGAACACGGCCATCGATTAGCTCGACTTTTCCTTTACCGAATTTGATGATTCCCGGGACGATCTTGATCTTTCCTGATCTGATTTTCGGTAATGCTCCGATGTCGAGTACCGGTGTTTTACCTTCCTTGTTTTTCAGCTCTAACGGTCCGATTTTCGGCCTTTTCAGACCGTATTTATCGGTATTCCCCAGTATCATCCTCGCAAGAAAGAGTAAAGTCTTGTCCGCGAGCCAAACCGGCATCCATTTCATCATTGTAACTCCTAGTTCAAACGTTGATTTCCCAAAAATCTCCCTTGGTAACACGTGAACCTGATAATTCAAGAAGAAGCAAAAAAAAAACAGAGGATCAGAGAACAGAGGAAGGGGATTCTCTGTTTTTAAAAATGCTCTGTTTTCAAAACAGAGTATCAAAAACAGAGGAAGGGGATGCTCTGTTTTTGGGAATAGAAAAATTCGAACTTTTGGTCACTTACAGAGCTACGAACGACCATTGATGGGTTTGCTCCGTGATTGTAGAGATCTAAAGAGACTTCCATACCGGAGTTACCGCATCCGACGACTAAAACTTTCTTCCCTTGGTACCTTCCACCGGATTTATAGTCACCGGCATGGAGAACATCGCCGCCAAAATCCTCTAAACCTTCAAAATCAGGCACGACTTTCTCAGCATTCTCTCCCGTAGCCACCACAAGCCACCTGCAGATATACTCGAACTCGCAAGAACCGAACTGACCGCTCTTCGAAACGGTCTTAACCCGCCACAGACCGAACGTCTCGTCGTATTTCGCTGATTGGACCGTCTCATTGTACTTAGGGTTGATGTCGAAGTTGCTTGCGTAGTCCTCAAGGTACTGAATAAACTGAAACTTGGTAGGGTATTCAGGGTAATCCTCCGGGAAGGGAAAATTAGGTAATTGGCAAAACTGTTTAGGGAGATGGAGTTTGAGACGATCGTAGGTTCTGTTTTGCCAGAGAGAAGCAATACAGTTAGCTCTCTCGAGTATTATGAACGGTACTCCTTCACGTTTCAAGCCAGCAGCGACGGCTAGGCCCGATGGACCAGCTCCGACGATGACCGGACCGTTGACCCAGATACAACGCCGGGAGAAAATGTCGCTTTCCGGTATGAGGTTTTGGAACATACTTGTGATGTCGATGCTCTTCTTTCTACTATGTCCATACATCTTGTACAGAGTTTAGAGGTTACTTTTGTTTGGTTTTGAGGAAAGAACAGAGGAAGTTTTGAGAATGTGTGAAAAAAAATTATTCAGATTTTGGAGAGCTTTACGGAGGATGGAGATTTAAGTGTATGTGTGTGTTTTGTTGGACTGGTGAAGAAGTTGTATAAATAGAGTGTAGAAGACTTGAAGCAAATTGGTATTAGTAAAAGTTTTAAATTGTTTTTTTTTTTTTGGAGGGAGGATTGAAAATATTATTATATTTAACTTCTGAATGTTATTAAATTCTCAAATGATAAGCTTGTAGCCACTACTGTTTGTTTATTAGTATATTTTTTCTATGATCTTCTACTTATTGTTATTCTCATCCAACAAATACAATAATTTTTTTTTTTTTTATAACCGTGGAGATCTCAACAGTTTTCTAGGGCGAAAGACTAATCCCACGAGATTCACGTTTCATCGTCACTTTCGGTGTGA